TGCAGCCCACCAATTAAGTTCTACCGGGAGACGGCCTGCGAAGTCTGTTGTTGTCGATAACGTAGGTATGTTGAAAGAAATCCTGCAAATGTCTATGGCACCCAACAATGTTTTCCCGGAAGACAACCCGCGACATCCGTTGCTGTCAACAGTAGTAGTACCATCTATTGAAATTTTGCAACACTCACGATATATGATGACACACAAGACCACCAACAACAACTGTTCCCTGTCCCTTCACAGTACACGCTCGAGAATCCGATATGCAATATACGAACTATGATGACACACACAACCACCACCAACGACCAATAATCCCTGTCCCTTCACAGGACACTCTCGAGAACCCTGCGTTCCTTCGGTTCCATCCCGAATACAACATCCTCTACGCCTGCACGGAAGACATCACCAAAGACAATGAGGTGAGGTTGTTACGCGTGTGTGTCGAGTGTGATTCTCGTCCTAATTTGTTACGGCGACAGTCAAGCCCCCCCATTTTTCGTGGTGAGACGTGTGATACAACACGAGTTTCAGTACTTCCAACTTTTTCGGTGTATTTTTCGGTGGCGGTATTGGGTGGTGATTCTGAAGATATACCTCCTTGAGAACCAGTCCTCCGTGGGAAACAAAAAATGCACATGAAACGTTGTTTACGACCACACCGAAGATATTTTGGCGTTTTTGTTGGAGCTGCTGATTTTGTTTTTTTTTGTCTTCACTCCAAATCAGCGCTCACAGCACTAGTTGTGCAGTTTACTCCTACCCGTGGTCACACAGACGAGCCGAGCCCCTCTCTACCCTCCCCTCCTGCGGTACTTTGCCTTCGATTTTGATGAGAGAAGAGTTCAGCACTCTCTTCCCTCTGTGTACATACGAACTAGCACTAGCCACTAGGCCAGGAACGGAAGCGAGAGAAAAAGTCACTTTGCAAGAAAAGCTCGCTTACCCCGGGATCCGAACCCCTGACCTGACCTCTAGGAGGTTTCGAGGATACCAACTAGACCACCGGGGCGACTGGCTTCAAAAAATCAATCCATGCCGGGGCTCGAACCCGGAATCTTCCGCTTCGTAGGCGGACGCCTTCTCCATTGGGCCACACGGACTTTTGCTTGGCCATAGTCGAACTTATTCCTCCAACACTGTCATTTTTGTTGACTGCTGATGTTCGTTGCTTTGGACTTCGATGGACGTTTCCCCAAACATCGAAGCTGTTGGCGGTTTCGTTGACCCCTGAGTCGTGCTTGGGCGTAGTGAACATTTTCGCCGAACATGGAAGTTAATGGTTTTTTTTTGTTGGCCGCTGGTTCGTGCTTGGGTGTGGTGTCAAACGGCCACAGGTCGCTTGCTTCTCCGTGTCGGCCACCTGCGGAAAGCTCACGCACCTCCGGTCCCAGAGCGCCAAGGGCAAAAGGTAAGCCATAAGGACGGCTTCGATTCCGGCCGATTCATCAGCTGCCCGTTTTTCTGTTCAAATTTTTCCTTTTTTTTTGTTCAGGTAGGTTCAGCACAGCTGATCGGCCTTTTTTGTTGTTGCCTCTTTGTTTGGATCATGTAGGATCAGCAAGAAAACAGTTGGTCGGCTTTTTTTTGTCTTATATATTTTGTCGAGGTTGGTTCACTGCAGCTGCTTAGCTTATTATTAATTTTTTTCTTAGTATGACACAACGAATCCGTCTCTATCACAACGAATCCATCTCTATCCACAGAAAGCCGTCTAAGATCGATTAGCAATGAATCCATAGCGTCAGCTTGGCTTTTTTTTTTTCCCTTTTGGTAGGTTCATCACGAAAGGCACCGCAAGGCATCTTCAGGGCATTGCCACTCCATTGATTGGGCTCGTGTCGTCGTAGATAGAACCTTTGCGTGTGCTCTAGCGGGTGTCGTTGACATGGCTCTGTTGGTTTACCGTCGTCTTTGACATTATTATTGGCTCTCTTGGCTTACCGTCGTCGCCGTCGTGGAATGTGCTGTTGTGGTTGTAGTGGACGTCTGTAGAAGCCGAAATCACACCATCAGACTAGCCAGCGCTGACTAGTCTAATGGTTTGATTCCAATGGTTTGGTTTCGGCTTCTATGCGTCGTCGTCGTCAGTGTTGATGTTGTTGATGCTGTTATTCCTACTGGTGTTGGTGCTGCTGCTTGCTGTATGCCAACCTACCAAGTAGCCACATGAGCCTCGTGTGTTGGCTAAAAAAGCCGAGCTTGTGGCCGTAGACGGGCCGTTTACTGCGTGACGGTAAGAATCGAAATTGCGTTGTTCCTGGAAAACCGGGGTCACGAAGAATTGACCTCGCTTACCCCCGCCCCCCCCCCCCCACCCCAAAGACGTCTATGAGAAAGACCACGTATAATTAGAGGCCGTACAACTTGGCATACGCGCCACCTCTTCCCGTCGACTCGAACGACGGCCCGCAACACCTCTCCCACGACAATGTCTGTTCTTTTTCTGTTTTTTGGTTCTCGCTACACATGCAAGTTCTCAGCACCTGCCACACTGCTGTACCTCGAGCTTGACAGTTTTCAAGAGAGACGCGTACAGAACCGGTCTGCTTTTCTGTTCCTTCTCGCCTGTCCCAGCACTATCTCGAGCTCGACAGCTCCCACAAAGACATGTGTCCGTTTTTCTGCGTTTTTTTTCTGTTCTCGCTACATTTATGTGCCTGTCCCCGAGTACCTGCTACCTCGAGCTCGATAGCTCGCCTACAAAAAAAAAGACTTTCGTTCTGCGCTGTATTCTTCTGTTCTCGCTTCATTGATGTACCTGTCCCCCAGCACCTGCTACCTCGAGCTCGACAGCTCGCTGGAGCACATGCTGTTCGTGAACTACTGGGACTCTGTGGTGGGGACCATGCCTCTCACTTGCTCAGGCCTCCTTGAACCAGGTACGACCCTGCCGAACAAAAAAAAATGTTTTTTTTTGGGGGGGGACCATGCCTCTCACTTGCTCAGGCCTCCTTGAACCAGGTACGACCCTGCCGAAACAAAAAAGTATGGTTTAAGAGGGGGGGAGGGGGGGCATTCCTCTCACTTATTCAGGCCTCCTTGAACCAAGTAAGCCAGGGGTGATCGATTGTGTTTTGGAGGGGCGGGCAGCTTGATGTGCCAGAAGCGCGGAGAGAAGGGGCTGACTCCGGGACGTTGGCGTATTGGGAGCAATCGATTGTGTTTTTGGGGGGCGGACAGCTTGATGTGTGAGAGGCATGTAGAGAAAGAAAGGCTGACCCCTGACTCCACCCCCCCGCGCGCCCTATATCCCCCAGCGGACTATAAGGAGGGCACCGATGTCATTCACCGAACGCCGATCGTGGCAAGAAAAATGATTCACGCCAGTAAATGTAGTCCTGAGATCCCACGTCCGTGCTCGAATGCAAATCGTGGTAATATTTTGACCGATCGATGTCATTCACCGAACGCCGATCGTGGCAAGAAAAATGACTCACGACATCCTGAGATCCCACGTCCGTGCTCGAATGCAAATCAACCGTGGTCATGCTTTCGATTGGGACTTACGTGCTCTAAGACTTAAAACGATCCGTGCCCAATGAAAAGCTTAAGGTTTTGCTGACTCCGTCCGGTCGTTCTTGCTGTTTTTTGTTGTTGTTGTTTCCGGTGGCGTCGTGGTGGGGTGGACCTCTCGTCTTCTTTTTCTTGCCGTCGTCGGTGATGCCGTTTCGTAGTTGTGAAGACCCTCAAGCCGGAGAGACCGGTCGTTGCTCGCGACCTGAAGGACCACCTGGTGAGATGGCTTTCTTTGTCGTTGATGTGGTTGTCGTTGTTGCTGTTGTTGTCGTTGTTGTTGCTGTTGCTATGTTGTTGTTGCTACTGTTGCTGTTGTTGTCGCTGCTGCTATTCCTGTGTTGCCTTTTTTGTTTGTTTTTGTTGCTGTTATTGTTGCTGTTGCTTTTGCTTGCTGTTGTGGTTGTTGGCGTGTGGTTGACTCTCATCCTCACGAGGGGGACTCTGACGCCTCACGCGACACCCCGCCGCCCGAAACGCTCACGCACGCCGGCTTCCGTGCTCTCCAGGCAAACCGACAGAGCGAGCCGCACGCCCACGCCATCGTGCTGGACCCCTACTTCGGGAAGGTGGCCTTCATCCCGGACCTCGGCATGGTGAGTTGCCGTGACGGGGGGGTGGTGGTTGGGAGGCGAGTGCCTAACCTTTGCTCTTCTTCATGTCTACCTGGCCGATGCCCTTTGTGAACTTGGGAAGAGCTATGTAGATGCAGAACTGGCATCGACGTTCTTCATGCCCACGTACCAATATCATCGTTCGTGACTCGGAATGGCTCCAGAACGGCACCATGTAGTTTGTAAGCTCTTGTGGACCTTAGCTTTCTACCAGATGGGTACCAACCATGAGGGAGGGGGGGGTGACTCCATTTTGTAGCCGAATTTCAAGACAGCGGCGGTTACGGTTTAAGAGAGAAAATTTCGGAGAAAGTACCGATTAGGGAGAGTCAAACTGGCTTGCCACGACCACGAGCAATACATACATTTCACGGTACGGTTTACAGAGAAAACCGGATTCAAGAGAGAAAACACCGGCGGCTTGTCCCGGCCCTCCCTTAAACCGTGCCGCCACTGTACTTACTGGTACACACCGGCGATGGCAGGTGATGGACTTCGGCTACTTGATCGTGTTTTTTGTTGTCCCCTTACCGAAACGACAGAAACCTATCTACGTCCACAGCTGTAAGAGAGCCCAGGTTGTTCTCGTACGGCAACGCGACGGCTCGTCCTCCGGTTTTGCGTTTTCTGTCCCTCCTCCTCTATCTACCTACCCGCCGGTGGTGTTAGGTGATGGACGAAATAAATAAATAAACAGATCTTATACAAAGCTGCAAGAAAGTCCAAGTTTGTTCTCGTACAACGCGATAGCTCGTCCTCCGTTTGTCCTCGTACAACAACGCGACGGCTCGTCCTCCGTTTCTTGCGTTTTCCGTCCCTCCTTCTCTCCGTCCCGAAAATCTGTCCCGAAACCTTTACCATGTTACTTTACAGGACGTCATCCAGCAGCACCACTACGACGCGAAGACCGGGGTGCTGACACCCTCGACGACCCTGGCCTGCGGGCCGGACGACCTCAAGCCACACGGCCCTCGCTACATGTGAGCGTTCCAGTCAAGTCGAGAACCACGCGTTTGGTGTGTGTGTGCTATTGAACCCGAAATCCCCAACCATTGGACCATGATAGTCAGCGCTTAATCAAGCCATTAGCCTATGAAGTCAGCGCCGCCGCTGACTATAATCTTGACGGTTTGTTCGGCTTCCACAGACTGTCTCGGGTTCGAAAAAGCCAATACACTGTATAGTCAGCGCAGCCATTGACTGGTCTTGACGGTACCCTGGATAAATATTTTTGTCCAAAGAAGGGGGGACCAAAAGTTTCTTTTGAGATTCCGGGAACAATATGCAAGAAGTGCTCCCCGGCCCTCGTAGTTTCGGGGGGGGTGAGGGGGGGGGGGGGGGCGTACTCTTATGTTTTGCATGCCTTAGCGGTTAGACCATTGACCACGCGTCCTCGAGAGGACGGAGCATTGTTCCCACAGGACCGATCACCGATGGCCAATCGTTCCTTCCTACTTTGCCAAAGGTGGCTCAAAAATGTCTTCCCTAGTCTGTCTATCCTAACGATATCCCTTCCCGCCTTTTCAAACCACTTCCTACTCCCCAGTACAGCTACCGTCCTCTCCTTTCTATTCCATACCTCAAACATCTCTCTGTACCTCCCTTGTATTTTTCCCAGCTCGGTCATTTACACTTCCCTCTCCTCTTCGTACCACGGACATTCCGCGACTACATGGACACGGTCTTCGCACTCGAAGCCGCAATCACATTTGAACTCGTCGTCTTCGTCGTCTACCGTCCTATGTCTTCGTCGACGTTCTCGAAGGCCTATGTCCCCGGTCCTGAATTTGACCTTAAGCTTTGTCCCTGCATCCATTGGTCCATGTAGGTAGTCCTTGAACCCTATTCCTTCTTTCAACATTCCGTACACTTCTAGACCCTTCTTATCCTTGGTTTCTTTCCTTAGATTCCGTTCTTCTCTCTCGGCACAAGCAACAGATATGTTCTCCTTGAACCCCTGTAGACCCTCCGTTTCCAGCGTTTCATCTTCGTCGATGTCTAACCCCTTCCATACGTCCTCTACAACCTTGACCCATTCCGTGGGTTGTCTACCCCGCTTTTTGTTTGCCCACTTCGCCTCCCATACTATTCTCGGCAACCTCTCCTCTCTCATCCCGCACATGCGATACTGTCACATGTCAGCTTCCTTGCGTCTTTTCCCGACCGTAGAGATTGGATCCCCAATTCTGCCCTTACGGCGCTGCATTACTTGCGCGCTCGGAGCATCCTAGGATGGTTTTCGCTGCTTTCATCTGCGCCGCCTCGAGTTCTTTCACTACCTTCTTAATTCCTTCCCATACTTCTCCGGCGTACTCTAGCGGCGGTACGATTACGCTCTTCAAAACCGCCAATTTGATGCGTGTATCGAGGTGCCGGTTTGCGAGTATTGGGTGCAGCTTCCCTGCTCGTGCTTTGCCCTTTTCCGCTACCTTGGACATGTGTGCATTCCACGAGCAGTCGTTTGTGATCTCTACTCCGAGGTATGTGTACTGGTCCACTACTGCAATCTCCTCGATCCCCCACTTCCATCCATGTTCTACTGGTTCCTCCCTGTCCTCGTTGCATACCATGACGGCACTCTTCTTAACGTTGGCAGACAATCTCCATTTATCAGTAAACTTCTTCGCCGCGTCAATTTGTAGTTGCAGTCCCTCAGGGGTGTCCGACATACCAACAAAATCATCCGCAAACAGCATTCCTGACACCGAAGTTTCCGTGTCCACTAATTTTACTCCCTTCCGGACTGCCTCTACGACTTCCAACAGATCGTTGATGAACACCTGGAACAATGTTGGGGACAGCGTGCAACCTTGTGGGACCCCCTGCTCAATGTCAAAGAACTTAGACAGTTCTCCGTCTAGCATGACCGCGCTTTTCGTACACTCTGTCATCTTCTTCAGCACTCTCCACATTTTCCCCTCGATCCCGTACTTGGACAATTGTTTCCACAGCCCATTTCTCCATACGGTATCGTATGCCTTTTTCACGTCCAGGAAGAAGCAGTACGTCGGCTTTCCCGCCCTCTTTCTACCTTGGATGATTCTCCCTACCGTGAATGCGTGTTCTACGCACCCCCTCTTCTGTCGGAAACTTGCCTGGCCCTCACTAATGCTACGTTCCTTCTCCAATACTCCCACTATCCTATCGTTCAGCAGCTTACAAAAGATGTGTTCAACACCTGTAGCTTCCTGGGTCAGTCTTGTCTCCTTTCTTAAACAAGTTCACACCCACTCCTTCCCTCCATCTACTTGGCGCATACTCGTTTTTCCACACCCAGTTGTACAGCAGTACCACAAACTGGATCATCCCCTTCCCCCCAAACTTCATGAACTCGTTGACTATCCCATCCGCCCCTGCTGCTGTGTGGCGCTTCAACTTGTTCACACACGCCTCAACCTCGTCCTCAGTGAACTCCTTTTCTAGCTCTACGTTCCCGACGTCTGCCTTCGATGTCTCTTCTTCTTTCTGGGCCCATGCGTTCACCTCCTTCTAAACACTTGGTCAAAAGCTTCATTCTCCGAAGGCACTCTAAGTCTCTTGTAGTGTCCTGCTAGAACTTCCCTTTTTCCCTTCCCACTGCTGACTAGTCCACCGTTCACACCTCGCAAAGTTGCTACCCCTGTATCCCCCCCTTGCGCGGTCTTTTTTACTATTCCACTAATCCCTTCCCACATCTGCTTGGCGTTCCCCTCCAGGCCTCCGTTGGCCTTCTGCACTACTTCGTCCCAAATGCACTTTTTCTTCTTTTTCACAAGTCCCTTCACCTGTTTCCTCTTGGCCCTGTACTTTTCCCAACTCTCTTCAGACCCCTCACTCAGGTACTGCTTGTCGACTTCTCTACGTTCCCCTATTTCTTCTTTCCGCTCGTCATCCCACCACTTAACTGATACCCCACATCGTACCACCTTCTTTCCCACTACTCTCTCTGCCGTTATGTTCACTATGGACTCCCATCCTTCAGTCACCCTGTCCCCTGCTGCTTGTACGTCTACCTGTCCGTCTTCGACGCTTCTCAGCAGTTTCCTGAAGGGTTCTACACTACCAGCCAGTCCTTTCTGGAATTCATCCCGTGTCCCCTCGTCTCCCAAACGCTCTACTGTCCACCGGAACACTTTCCTCTGTTTCTTACTCTCCGTCTTTCTAGATCGGTCGATGTTTGCCCATATGAGGAAATGGTCGGTCGAACCTATATCTATCGCACTTATTAGACCCTTCTTTATGGAAACATAATCTTGCAATTATATCTTGGCAGATTTGCTCACAATATATCTCCGCCAAGATTTGCAGTATCGCGATTTATGGGGGAAGTATCTTGAATGTTGAAAATGCGGCGTGTTGTTCCTCTCTTCTGCTTGAAGTTGAAAAAGGCACAACGGCCACTTGGTCCACAGAAAATGCCAAGGTGTGGCGAAAAGTGAGCATGACGCAGTTGTAAAAGGGGCATCGCTCCCCCAGCTGTATTGCCTCAACACTGTGGGTGGATACTAGCGATGGGCGCCTACCTGGGGTGCAAAATTGAATCCGTTGCCCACGAGCTCATGTCAAGCGGAGAAACAAAACTGTTCCATTGCTGTCCAACTGACAAGAAAGTGCATCAACCCGAGGCCGATGACACCCATGCACGTATCTCATGATGTAGCAGGCGTACCGAGGTCAAACCTCCGGCGCTGTCATCTGCACCCACGGATTTGGCTCGGGTGCAAACGGATTGGGTGTGGGGCGATTCGATGAAGAGATAGAAGCGTCGCACACGACAGAGCAGTGTTGGCAAAACGTTCCTCCTGCTCTATTTTTCTACTTCAAAATAAAGTACTCTTTGAACGGTCCCTCGACAGACTGGTGATGACGCACGTGGAACGAGTCAGGGCAAATACGCCTTTTTTTGGCGCGCCTTGGTTGTTTTCGTTCGCTGTCGGCGCCACGGGCGCCGACACAGTGACGCCAGGGTGCGTTAGAGACCCTTGCGAGTGTGCGACGTGCAGATTTCATGGCGTTATGGACGATTAGGTTGACTGACCTTCGGTGATCGCGCCGCACTGAGGCAAGATTTGTTACGCCGCCTCAAGATTTGTCGGAAGGCTCGACTTGACAAATCTTGGGTCAAGATTTGTTCGAAAGGGCAGATTTCGGGCCTCGAGAAATCTTGGCCAAGATATATCGGAAGATTTTGTTCCCATAAATCGTGAAACTGACAGATCTTGGCCAAGATCAAGATTTATCGACAAGATTTTGTTCCCATAAATCGGGGTCTTACGTGCAGCTCTGGGACCTGTGTGCTCCCCCTATCTACCAGGATGTAGTCGAGGATCGAGTATTCATTGCAAACTGCCCTTTGCCTGGTGAACTCCGGCTTATCGCATTACCTCCTACCGTTCAACACCATCAGGTCGTTGCTTCCCAAGAATTCAAGCATCCTCACTCCGTTGTCATTCACTTTGTCTTCTCCGTGCTGCCCAATCGCCTGTCCCCTACTGCAAGCTTTCCCTACTCTAGAGTTGAAATCGCCCACCATGACAACTTCTCCCTTCCTACTGAACCTCTGGACATCTTCCCCAATTTGTCCGAAGTTCTCCTGCGCCTTGCTTGCGACTTTCTTCGACGACGGTGGGACGTATACGTTCCCTAGAAACAAATCTTTCTCACCCCGCTCCCCAGGTATCTTAAGACATAGGCTTTCCTCGAACTCCGTTTTCACCACTACTTCCACCACGTCAAAAAGTGTTCCTTGACCAGGAATCCGACTCCCCCCCCCCCATTTTCTTCGGGTCTAAGCCCTTTCTTGCCTTCCCTACCCACCGGTATTTCCCTAATTTGCTTACCACGTCCCCATCCTTCAGTTCCCACGTCTCTTGGATCCCCACTACATCTAGATCGCTTTGTTCTACTTGGTCCACTATTTCCAACCGCTTGCGCTCACTCCTTGCGAACCCGCACACGTTCCACGACCCCACTCTCAGCTTGTGCTTTTCCCTATTGGAGATTTTGCGCACTCTCTCCTTCGCCTTCCGCTTCTTCTCGGCGTTCTTCTGATTTGCCTGCTCGTCTCCCCCGCCCGGTCCCTTTTTCGCCTCTATCGCCCTCGCCTCTTGTCGCCTTACCTTCTCTGTGTCTATCATGTTCACGACGCAAACCCTCCATCCAAACTTCCTTTCGTAGTTCGACAGCTTCTCGATGTCAACCCCCAAGCACTCTTGGCTGTCTCCCTTGGTCAATTTCACCCGGAAATGTTCATGCTCTCTGCCTACTTCTCCCCTTGCTAGGCAGTGCAGTCCCTCCCTGTCACAACAGTTCTTGAACTCTATCCTCGTCATGTCCCTTGGAATTCCAAACAGCAGCAGCTCCAACCTGTCTCCCTTCCGCAGTTTCTGCTTCCATCCTCCCGGCTTCTTCACCATCCTCATGATCTCTACAGCAACTGGACCGCGGCCACTTGTTTTTCGTTTTTTTTCAGGAAGGTATACGGAATACTCGGCCTTCCCAATCCGAGTGTCCGGTGAGGGTTGTGGTTCCTTTCAGTTCTTATGCCGGCACTCAGGGGGGGGGGGCGATGTCTTCCGTGACGGCACAAGCAGCCTGCCAGCACCGAAATCTTCGAGCGTGACTGCTGAATGCAAAACTTCGGTCTGCGTTGGGTAGTGTAAGCATTTGTACCTGTGTTGTGAAGTAACCGCGGAAGCCAAAAATTTCCCGTAAGGACGGGGGGGGCGGGAAAAGGGGGCGTGCGTCCACCACGTTTTCCGTTTGCGAAACATCTGGCAGCACCAACGTCCTTCGAAAGCGACTACTACTCTTGCTT